GTAATTACACAAGGGCGAGACCAAACGCAACCAATCCCATTCAACAATTGACAGGTCATTTTTTACTTGCCGTGGACGCAAAATACCGCAGATGATACCGCTTAGAAAGAAAAACCGCCTTTTTACACAACATTTTAGATGACAGTTTAGAACCAAAAGGTGTATGTAGTTTTATGTCAACCGCGCCCTTCGGAGAAAAGGAAAAAAAGACAATTTCGATCGTTCTTCAGCAGCATTTAGCGGTAGCAGCGGATGGTTTCCGTGGCTCCTTTTTCCGCGTTTTGGGCCATGCCGTTGGGACCACCCTTGGGGAGGTATTGTTGGTGGTACAACTGAAAAAGGGGGAGGAAACATAAATTGGGAGAAAGAGAGCGTGGGGGGGGGGCGGGAGACAAGAAAACGGTGGTCGTGGAGAGTATTTAGATTGAAGGAGAGAAGGTGCTGCCATGTGGAGATGCATGCACGCCAAGCAACTCATATGCGCAAGGGCCGATGCTATCGTATATCCGGCCAGGATATGAATGAAAAAACGCATGTATGTCTCAACAAACACACCAGAAAAGGGAACACAAGTGCATGTGTGGGTCGCGGTCATCCCATTTAACCTCGGTTGGCTTTTTTCGCCTTTTCGTGCTTTTTCGCCAGGGGAGATTTCCCAACCCTCACATTTTCCCAACGTCTACCGGGGATACACAACTTGACAAACCTTCCACCGAGGCTCCGGCGCAGCCACTCGCTCGTTCCATGATGGTGACGGCGTGTGTGTGTTTATTTGCATAGATCGACCGCGCTACCCACATGATCACAAAAAACAGACATCAGCCTTTGTGTGGGTGCTTGTGTGTGCGTCCTTCCGCCTCTCCGCGGCCACGAGCTCAACGCCACGCATCCGTACACACAGGACTTTCACTTCGGGTCATCTTCGTTTCAACCATTCTGGATCCATCCGTCTCTCGCGTTCTGAGCGCGACTCGTACCTCGCATACCGCGGCACGCGTACGTGTCCGTTGCTTTCCCAACGGATTTGTGCTGGCGTGTGTCAACCATCGTTTGTTCAAGAGCGGCAATAGTTGATGGTTGGTGTTGTTATACAGGAGCGGAAAAATCCATCCAGGTCGATTTCTGCCCAGTTGGCAATTGATTTCAAGCGGGAGGAAATTGCTGTTTGGTATCCCATGCTTGGAAAGTGTCGATGAAACGGTCTCATTTCCCGTCAGGTCAGGGTACATTTCCGAAATCAGGGTACGTTTCGGGAGAAAAGCAACCGTGGCAGGAAATACAGCATTACCCCCGCGCTTCAAAGGGCAAGGTGGGCTGAAATTGGACGTTGACCAATCAGCCGACCTCGTTTGACTCTGCCAAGTACTTTTGTGCCCGGCTGAGAGTCGCTCTTTGACCAGGGTACTCCACCTTGTTGTGTCGTGCCTAATAACTTCTGTCCACACATCTTTGGCCGTAAATGTGACCACATATTCGTTTGGTTCGTGTGCTCAAGCGCCGAAGAGAAATTCGCCGAGATTCGAACTAACGTCGAAACGTCGGAGAGCGGCGAGGCAACCCACTAAACCACTGAAGCAACCAGCAAAGGATACAAAAAAAGCGACAAATAAAAACCTGTCCTTACCTCTGCCGGCCAGTAGACCTTGGCGCCCTCGATCTCAGTAGCGATCGGCTGCTTGTAGTTGCCCCGCAAGCCATCCACCACCTTCAGCGCCTGTGAAGTGGAGGAGGCGCACAACGCGAAGAAAGATGAGAAGAGAAGAGCAGGAAAAAAAAAACACTTGCAGCAAAGACCACCACGACGACGAGAACAAACGACATATCGACACCACCTCCACCAAAAGCACCAATACTGCCGCCAACAACAACACCAACAATAGCAGCACCACCACCACCAACAACAACCACAACAACAACGAAACACGTGAGATTGCCCGATAGGCGAGAAACAAGGAAGGAGGCAAAGAGAGCGAGCCAGCCAGCGAGCGGTTGCGAAGCAAACTCAGAGGCAGGCGGGAAGGCAAACTCTCAAGTCGCAGCGGCATGGTGCGGGATTGATCGTCTTGATGCAAAACCAACGAGACACAAAGTCGCCCCAAGACAAGAACGGCTTCAAGACAACCAACCCCGCGACAAACAAGGCAGAAACAAAAACACACAACGCACCACGTCGGACTGCCCCTTGGTGTGGGGGTAGACCCCCGTTCGGTACTGGGTGCCCCTGTCGCCCCCCTGGCCGTTAACCTGCGTGGGGTTGATGCGGCCGAAGAAGACCCCGCACAGCTCCTCGAAAGACACCTCCGAAGGGTTGTAGTATACCTGCCAACAGAACGTTGGAAAACGGCACAAGAAGTGGTACGTACATATAGTATGCGAGCGTTTCTCCACTGACGGACTGCGCGAGCCCGGCTGCGCAACGACAAATACGCCAGTCTTGGGGCGGGGCAACGAAAATAAAACGATTGTTTCTCCGCGGGGGGGCCTGGCAAGGGGGGGTTGCGGAGACTGCTGTCAAGGGCGGTTCAGCCTCTGAGAAGGGAAGGCGACCCAACCATACACTGTGCTGCCTGCTCTTCGAATCGACGTGCTATTGATTGAATAGTATCGACAAAATGTACCCACTCAAAAAAAACGACCGTTGCTCCTAATCCCGACAAACTACGGTGAAAATAGCCACAACACGTCCCAAATATACCCTACGGCCTTGAGTACACAATTCTCCAGGAAAAAACGTCTGCGCGGCCCATCTCGCAGCACACATCGAACGAAGGCGGCAGCGGCCCTCGCTTTGAAAGATGGGATAGATGTACCCGTCCGGTGTGCGCACCAGAGAGGTGCCAACCTCCTGTCAGACACCGGGCCATCCATCCGACTTGCGTGTGAACGGAATGCCCTCGTCGCCCCCCCCCCCCCCCCGCCTCTCCCGCAGTTCGTCCCGCCTAACCAAAGGCACGACAAAGCGGCGAGCGTGCATGACCACGACCTACAGTGTCAGCGCGCCCCCGCCACCGCTACCAACTACCGCTGTTCCTGGGCCCGGATACTGGCCCCCTTAAAGCTGTTCACCTTAGCGGGAGCGAGGGAACGCTGACCCTGAAATTTTTGGGGGTGCAAGGTCTATTCTGTGAAAAAACACCGCTTAGGCCCGACCAAATTTGGTAGAGGGGCGCCGGGGGGTACCGAAAAAACCGAAACCCGATGGGCCCAAACAACAAAAAAAAGTCCTAAACAAACAAACATCCCCCAACTCTGCTCGGTGCTACCCCCTTTCCAGCACACTGGCGGCCCCTCCAACATGCATCTAAAAGGGCCAATTCCCCCCATAGTGAGGCGTATT